CTTTTAGGTTAACTAATGTTGCATTCGAGGTTTATTTGCCTCTCCCGTGAAACTCTATGTCAAGAAGGTCCATAAACCATAGATCCGTCCTATTTGGTGGTCCAATACACTGTACGCGACTACTAAAGCATCTGAAAACAGTGAAGCCTCAAGTCGAATAAGAACGAGTTTTATTACCATGAAAACTCCAATAAATATAGATTTAAAATTTCATTTTTGGTCTGCCTATAACCACTGAATCATGTTAGCTTCATCGAAGAAGTTGATGCAGAATTCAAATGAGCTCTCATATTCACGAAAGACATGTTCTTGATGAAGAATTGGTTTTGAACCGCGAACTGCTCCATGGGCAACTCTATTATCCGCAATGTAAGCAACTCGTGCTTCCAATCAAATGTGTCAGTCGCTGGTTTCTTAAACGCCCTTTTCCTGTTGACTGCTCTGGGGGACATGTAGGCAGGCGACGACTTCACTATATTTGAACATCTGCAGTATCAAATGCTTATCGTGTCATTTTGTTCGCGCTAGCCACCTCGCGCTGGAAGATGCTTCCAAAGCTGGGACTCATTATATGCTGCATGAAAATGTGTTTATAAGTCAGAGTATGTCAGGTAGCGCATAGACTCCCCAAGTTCAAGGTTCACTCAGGGTAGCACCGTTTCAGATTGAGGCGTTGGCTTCACCATTAATGTGCCTCTTGACTCATTGTAAACTGCGACACGTACAAAAGCCTTTCTAAAGGAACTGTAAATTTATGTCTGTCTATCCCTCACAATGGAGGTGTTGAGATTATGCATTGTCAGATTTTGATCGTATGACTTGTCCTTCAGGAAAGAAAAACCTGAAAGAAAAGATGGTGTCTTTGTGATGAATGGCAAACTTCTGTAGCCATGTACACAACCGACGGATATTTATCAGTCTTTAGATAATTTTGCTGCCAATGTTTCGGTCAAACAATGGCTCTGTCTACAGCGATCGATTCATATCTATTATTTTTCATTCATCCTGCAACAAATGCTCCTCTAAGTCCAAATTACTTGCTAGTAGCACAAAGGGGTACCACACTACCGTGAAATCTGGACTTTGATGAGTCATTCGTTGTTTGGCATGCTTGGGTGTGCGAACAACTTATGACGCGTATGCAGTAGCATGCAATTGATACCAGCCTCTGAAGCATCGAGGTGACCCTAGCGGACCAAATGATGCGAGAATCATCTGGCACAGCAAGTGCTGCAGTGCCATGGAGTCGTAGCCTGGTTAAGTGCCACCTAGGAAATTGGCAACAAGAGGTCGGTGCAATAAGCCGTGAAATCTGGTCTTGGATGAGTCATTCGTCATTTGGCACACTCCGGCAAACGAACAGAATGGCTTATGATGCTTATGACGATGATGGCGGAGAACCAAAATTCAGTTTCAAAATTTCCAACACCTGTAGTCTATAGAATTCTAAGTACTGAAGTATGAATTGTGGCTAAAGAACCAAGTATGGAATTTCTTGACAGGAGCAAGTTCGGTGACCTTAGCAGCTAAATCAGTCACAACTCGTGGAAATGACCGTGCAGGAAACAATTGCGTGGGATGCTGAGGTACTGAGAGAACCCCCTCTTTTCCATAAGTATTTCTGGCTAGGAGTGAAATATTCTGATCACTAGGTAGGCGGACAGGTTGAGAGCTATTTCAAAATTAACTGTCATGGATGGCGCTATAGCAGGATTTAGAATTACATGCAAACCACCGAAGCCACGAATTCTTTGTGATCATTATAAGAAGGAATGTGACAGTTAACAACGTTGTGTTATAATACTTTTGAGAAACATCCACTACGTAACTGCGGAATATCATTCTCATTCTGCGCCACGAACTCATAAGTTATTTAAATGTCCGATTCAGTGGTTTTAAGCAGGAAGTAAGGCTGATGGTTGGCTTTAAACAAGCTTCAGTGCACAATGGTTAAATGATCTAATATTTGCTGAAGTACCGGAAGGGCCTACAGAATGGTTAAGGTGTTCAATACATAAACTTGTAATAATCCAAGTTTTAATAAAGTAGTCACAGCAGTACACGGTTCAAAGCCGATTTTATCACTGAGCCGCAACGGATCAGAGACTTTCTAACAAAATCTGAAGTGGTCGAATCAGTCGGTCACCCCTGCCTAGAAAGAACTGATCGTCCCTTATAAAAATGCGTAAAAACAATATATTTATAGACAACGCAAACTAGCAAGTTGGCCAATCCGATGAATGACCAGTACAGACGTTTCGGCTCGTCTCTCACGAGCTTTCTTCAGGGTTGGCTTGTGGAATTAAAAAGTTGGGTGGTCCGCAGCTGTTGTGACCTTTGGGGCGTTGTTAGACTTTCACCGTTACCCGATTGACCAACTAATTCGTTTGTGTTGCGCATAAATAAACCGCTTTTTGTATTTTTCAGTTTTGTGTGTATGAACCCCAATATATGTGATATATATATATGATTATATAGTATAATATCTGATATATGATATATGT